GTCTGAACTGTCCTATCGGTACCAAAACCTCCAACCTTAGAGAGTTCTGGAGATTATTCCACAAGTAAGGTGCAAAAAAACTAAATGCAGATCTACCTAAATCAGTGGAGACCGAAGGAATCTCCAGAGTTAACCCTCCCTGAGATCGGGTCTGGTAACTCATATGTATGTAATTTAACAACGAGGTAAGGTAATAGCGGAAGTTTGCACAAGAGGGCTTAATAAACAAAAAGAGAGCAGTGCATTGATCTACAAGCCTTAAGAGAGCGCCAGCCTACAGTCTGATACAGAATGCAGTGATGTGTACTGAACCTATCACCCGTAACAAAGCATAGTGTGCTATGATAAACTGCGTCCAATGGCTTCAATACAGTGGCAGCTGCATTCATACAGACCATAGTCTAAAGCTGGAACAAATGTCGACTGAATGATTTGTTTCTGCTAGTTAATTAAAGGCATGCCCTATTGCTATAAAGGAAGCCCATTTTAATTCTCAACTTCTTAACTAACTCATCACTATGCTTTTTGAAAGATAGTTTTTCATCAATCCAGATACCCAGATATTTATAAGTGGGGACATGATCAATGTGGGCACCATCCAATGTACACATGCATAAATCATCAGATACATTTTAAGCTTTTTGGAAAATAACATTGACTTAGATTTACCTGCATTAAGTACCAATTTAAGTTCAACAACATCTTTCTGTAAGTCGAAAAAGCCAGATTGTAGTTCTGAAAGATCCTTGTCAATAGAAGGGGCAACAGAATACACAACAGTATAGTCCGCATATAAGTGGAGGTTACAAATTCTTACAGACAAACCAATATTGTTTGTATAGATATTAAAAAGTACGGGGCCCAAATCGACCCTTGAGGGTCACCTTTAGTAATATCAAGGAAACCTTACTTAACACCATCAGAAGATGCACATTGTGTCCTGCCTATCAGGTAGTTTTCAAACCAAGAGCAGGCTGCCTGACCCAGGCCAATTTCAGACAGTCTATTAATTAATAATGAGTGGTCAACAGTTTTGAAAGCCTTCGACAGGTCTATAAAAAGGGCAGCACTATGCTGCCTTTTGTCTATGCATTTTCCAATGTAATTTAACACCAAAGAAGCAGTAGAGATAGTGCTGTGACCTGACCTGAAAACAGAATGATGGACACTTAGAATACATTATGAAGCTAGAAAAGATCTAAGCTGAGTGTTTATTAAAGATGTAAAACATTTTGCTAGGTAAGACAGTTTAGAGATCGGGCAATAATTATTCATGTCCAAGGGATCACCACCTTTGTGGAGAGGGAGCACATGGGCAGCCTTCCAGACCCTAGGGATAGCACCCAAGATAATTGTCAGTTTAAAAATATGTGTCAATGATTCCACAATTAGGGAAGCAGGAAGCTGCAGCAAGAAAGGATCACGCAAATCAGCCCCGGTGGATTTTCTATTTTATTTTTATGAATCTGAAGCAGGGTGTCTACCACATCAGAAGTAGACAGTTGTTGAAATTAAAACAAAGATTCATTAGAAATTGACAGATATTCCATCCTGCCAAATAAAGGCTGGGAGAGGGAAGAGTGGAGGGAAGAGTGGTCGAATGACTGATTGGGGCCAAATAAACCACAATTACTTTCAAATAAAATACCTGGAAAGATAACATGTTGACTAAAAGCATCACTTATCTAATTTTTCTCAGTAAAGATGCTAGACCCTGATGAATTTCCATGCTTCAGTGCATTAACAATTTTCCAGCAGAGTCTGAGATAGAACATAGAAAGTAGCATGATTTAGCTTTCTTAATTGAGTAGGTGCATCTATTTCTCAATTGCCTGAAAACCTGCCAATCAGCTACAGAGTCAGTTTTTCTAGCCTAGGCTCAGGATTGGCCCATGGATTCAGTCACAGAGCCATACAAATGAGAATCACCCGAATGTGTTCAACGGCAATCATAAATTGAGAAATAATTTATATAATGTATACCTTGGGCAAATTATTTAAAACACTGAAGCATTCAACTGTACATTTCTCATCTATGATTCAATTTATCATTTTGGTGTCCAATGTCCTAAATGCTATTACAATATGCAATAAGAAAGTATTAAAACCTATACAATTATTTAAACCTATAATGTATAATCACATTACTTGTAACAAGGCCATTTTGCCAAGGTATAAATTATATAAATGATTGCTCAATGTAAGATTGGCATTGAACACATTCGGGTGATTCTCATTTGTACGGCTCTGTGATAGAATCCATCATTCACTCTAAATTAATTAATATATTGCCAAAGTTTGGTTAAAATGATTTGTCCCACTTGACAATCTCTAATTTAATTGGAAAGGAGCCTAACAGAACAACAGTATTTTACTGGGTTTTGTTGAATCCAATATTTTAATTGCTTAACTGGATCTAATTAACTAATTAGCCCAAATGGTCATATATTCTTAACTGCCTGAGGCATTCAGGTGCTGTTGGAGTGGACTCAATTGGATAATGTAGAGCACTTATGCTGAAACGTGTCAAGTTCAAAGGAAGTGTACTGTTTGTCTGTGAAGGGTTCTGAGCTAATACAGGAATATCTAGAGTACTCTAGATATTGACTCTGGCAGTTGTGAGTGGGTGAAGTGGTGTCATTGATACATTTTATCTGAATTCAGAAGAAAACATGGGTTGGCTATTCAAGGTTATTTTAATACACTATTGTACTTTGTATACAAATTTCAAGACAACACAATGCAATTATGATATGCTTCTACTAGCCCATGAATGGATCAACACTGTAAAGCATCTCTTAGCGTGGATGATATGAAAGCAGGGTTAGACAGTATTTCTCAGGCGTTAGTTGATGTGAATACCTGACTGTGATAATTGGAGAAATGGGAGAAATGGGAGACACACTGAAAAAAAACACACACTCTGGCCTTCTCTGACACTGGTTTGATATGTTTTTTTGTTGTTGTCGTTGACACTGGTCTGATATGTTGTTGTCGGGCATCGCCACAGTCTACTAAGTTGGTATCCAATTGCACACAGCCTGTTAAGATCACAGAACAGCAAATAGCTGATCTGACGGGCTTGTTTGGGACTCATAGCCAGTTAAGAGAGCATTTTCGCTAACCCTAACCTTAACCTAATTCTCCTAATCTGCTATGTTAATTATCCTAACCTGCTACGAAAAAGTCTTAGCTGTATTGAAGTGACGTGTTTTAACAGAATCTCAGTTTGTTTGGTGTTTTTTAGGGAGAAGGTTACAACTGCGTCCCAAATGGCACCCTATTTGCAAGAAAGTGCCCACAGGGCTCTGGTCAAAAGTAGTGCACCGTGTAGGGAATAGGGTGTCATTTGGATGCACAATACACGTTTTTATTCCAATGTGTAATTGGAATGATTGGGAATGCAATGAGACAATTAATGGCGTCTATTCATCAAGCTGTTTTCATGTGGCACTCTGCTTAACCAAAAAGAGGCCTCCTCAACTCAATTGTGATCTCTCCCTTTTATGACAAAAGAGGGAAAATCTACTGCTCATTTTATGAATTATGTCACAATCTTTATTCTTTACGGTTGGTCTGACCTGAAGCTTAGAGCTTTGATGGATTAATTATGTTATCTCACCCATGAAGGTCTATGATTAAAAAAAAGGCATCGTTTCTCTATTCCATCAGAGGTAATAGCCACCTGCTACATAGCCTATGGTGTATTGCGTGCAAACCAGAAAACATAATAAGGTTGTACCTTGGCATGTGTTTCCTTTAACAGGCAATTATCAAGTGCTTTTGAGACTATCAGGAGGCAACATGTATACAGTGATGCTTGCTGAAAAGCCAACTCCTGCTAGGCACTTTGTTATTTTTTGAAAAATAAAAGCCATGATAAAGCAGAAATTAGAGTAAAATAGAGACAGATTCAGGCATGCAAGATCAAATTGAATCTCCTACAACGAGATAAGCGCTTCACCACATTTTGAATTCTAAACCATCACTAATAGCTCAAACGGCATTCAGATGAAAATACACGGGAAACAGTAAAATACAGACATACAGACAGTATCTAGATAATATCACATCGGGACAAATTAAATATTTAATTGCACGGGAGCTGGGAGCTGGATTATTTGTTCTTAATCTCCGGCTTGAAAACTGTCAAATTACAGTCTGCAGCGAGGGGAACAATCTTCTGTGGCAGCTGGTTGTCAAAGCTGAATAGAACGCTGTTCTCTGGAGATATACAGTAGCTGTGCGGCTGAGTTCCAAAAGGCACCCTGTTCCCTACATTATGCACTACTTTTGACCAGACCCCTATGGGCCCTGGTCAAAAGTAGTGGACTATATAGGGAATAGTTTACCATTTGGGATGCAACCTGAGAGTGGGTGAAGGGAAGAAAGAGATCTGGGTTTGAAGGGATCGTTTGGACCATAGTGTTTTGTATGGGCAGTCCACACACTGATTTGATAACTATCTCTATCCGTCTCTATCCATCATGCATCTCATTGGAGATGCAATACAAGGTTGCCTCTGTAGATTAGCTGTTTTGATGTATTCTGGGGAATATGAATGTGAATTGTTATGGCATGATTATAAGATCATCCACAGTAATTTATTTCCATTCTCTGTGATACTTAAGGTGACATTTTGACTGTGCCAAAAATATAGAAATTAATATTTCAAAATTAGTTTATTTATTTTGTACTCAACCATTGTTTTCTGTGTGTTGTGTAAATGGGGTCCACTACCATTATCCAACAGGTGACTCATTGAAATATTGGATACAGAAAGGATCTTAACGTTTCTTTGTGCTTTTCCTCTTCCAGGTGATGAGCTCCATTAATCGTTGAGTGTGACAGGCAAACTAACCAGGCCAGAGGCTCCTCATCTTGGCTACATCCAGTCCACTCTCCCCTACACGGATTCATCTCTCTGGTTCTTACAGTTGTTGATCTGGCTTTCCTTCTGTGGGACTTTACCTTGGAGACCTCAACCTCACAGACCGCCAATGCTTACAAGGAACTGCCTGCTGCTGTTCCTTTGGTTTGTCTTCGACAAAGGTTCCCTGTCTTTAGTACGCCCGCCAGGCCCACCACTGAGCAGGAGCAGACTGGGAAAGGAGAATCCAAGGAGCCTGGCGGGCTCGATGAGGAATGGGGCATCTGGGTTTCAGAGAGTCAAGAGGGGCTGGGTGTGGAACCAGTTCTTTGTGCTGGAGGAGTACATGGGGTCAGACCCACAGTATGTTGGCAAGGTAAGGATGTTATACATTGTGTTATTTATAGCATGGGAGCGTGTCATAAATCATGTAGCCAAGAGCTCGGGAAGAATTGAACCAGTGTTAAATGGAGGGAGAGGTAGAAAATAGGATGAGAGAGGGAGGGAGAAGAGAAAGAAAAGAGAGGGAGAGCTGTAGTAGTAATAGAGCATCAAAACAAATTGTATTTGTCACATGCTTACTTATGGGACCTATCCAACAATGAGGAGAGAAAAATACATTATAGAAAATAATAACGCAAAGAATAAATACACAATGAGTAATGATAACTTGGCTATATACAAAGGGTACCAATACCGAGTCGATGTGCAAAAGCACGGGGTAATTGAGGTAGATATGTACAAATAGGTAGGGATAAAGTGACTATAGATAATAATAAAAATAAACAGTAGGAGCAGCATATGTGATGAGTCAAAAGAGTTAGCGCAAATAGTGTCAATGCAGATAGTCGGGGTAGCTATTGGTTAACTATTTAACTAAGTACAATATTTAGTAGTCTTATGGCTTTGGGTTAGAAGCTGGTCAGGGACCTGTTGGTTCCAGACTTGGTGCATCGGTACCGCTTGCCGTGCAGTAGGAGAGAGAACAGTCTATGACTTGGGTGGCTGGAGTCTTTGACAATTTGTAGGGTCCTTCCTCTGACACCACCTGGTATAGAGGTCCTGGATGGCAGGGACGTGGACACTGTGGACACTGTGGAACTTGAAGCTCTTGACCCACTCCACTACAGCCCCGTCGATGTGGATGGGGGCATGCTCGGCCCTCCGTTTCCTGTAGTACACGATCAGCTCCTTTGGCTTGTTGACGTTGAGGGAGAGGTTGTTGTCCTGGCACCACACTGCCAGATCACTGACCTCCTCCCTATAGGCTGTCTATACGGTGCATTGGAAAGTATTCAGACCCCTTGACTTTTTCCACATTTTGTTACATTTCAGCCTTATTCTAAAATTGATCAAAATGTTTTTCCCCTTATCAATCTACACACAATAGCCCATAATGAAAAAGCAAAAACAGGTTTTTAGATTTTTTTGCAAACTTATAAAACTGAAATATTACATTTACATAAGTATTCAGACCCTTTGTTGAAGCACCTTTAACAGCGGTTACAGACTTGAGTCTTCTTGGGTATGACGCTACAAGCTTGGCACACCTGTAACACCAGTAGGATAATTGTGCCGGAGGAGATAACTGTCGTTTTACGGGCTCCTAACCAATTGTGCAATTGTGTGTGTTTTTTTCACGTTATTTGTAACTTATTTTGTACATAATGTTTCTGGCACCGTCTCTTATGACTGGCACCGTCTCTTCTGGATATCAGGACAGCGATTACTCACCTCGTACTGGAAGAAGATTTTTTATTTAACGAATCGAACGCGAAGGATTTACTTCAGGCACCCAACAAGGCCCAAATCCCCATCATTCGCAGGAGAAAGAGACAAAGAGATCGGGGACGTAGGTCGGGGTGCCATGTAAGGATCCGCCGGCGAGTGGGTAATCTGCCTCTACCATTAGTCCTATTAGCAAACGTACAATCATTGGATAACAAAATAGATGAGCTACGATTACGAATATCCTACCAAACGGACATTAAAAACTGTAATATCTTATGTTTCACCGAGTCGTGGCTGACTGAAGACATGGATAACATACAGCTGGAGGGATATACGCTACATCGGCAGGATAGAACGGCTAACTCCTGTAAGACAAGGGGTGGCGGTCTGTGTATATTTGTAAACAACCGCTGGTGCACGAAATCTAATACTAATGAAGTCTTGAGGTTTTGCTCGGCTGAGGTAGAGTATCTCATGATAAGCTGTAGCCACACTATTTACCAAGAGAGTTTTCATCTGTATATTTCGTAGCTGTCTATTTACCACCACAAACCGATGCTGGCACTAAGACCGCACTCAATGAGCTGTATAAGACCATAAGCAAACAGGAACGCTCATCCAGACGCGGTGCTCCTAGTGGCCGGGGACTTTAATGCAGGGAAACTTACATCAGTTTTACCTCATTTCTACCAGCATGTTAAATGTGCAACCAGAGGGGAAAAAAAACTCTAGACCACCTTGACTCCACACACAGAGACGCGTACAAAGCTCTCCCTCGCCCTCCATTTGGCAAATGTGACCATAATTCTATCCTCCTGATTCCGTATTACAAGCAAAAACTAAAGCAGGAAGCACCAGTGACTCGGTCAATAAAGAAGTGGTCAGATGACGCAGATGCTAAGCTACAGGACTGTTTTGCTAGCACAGACAGGAACATGTTCCGGGATTCTTCCGATGGCATTGAGGAGTACACCACATCAGTCACTGGCTTCATCAATAAGTGCATAGATGACGTCGTCCCCATAGTGACTGTACGTACAGACCCCAAACAGAAGCCATGGATTACAGACAACTTTCACACTGAGCTAAAGGGTAGACCTGCCACTTTCAAGGAGCGGGACTCTAACCCGGACGCTTATAAGAAATCCCGCTATGCCCTCCGATGAACCATCAAACAGGCAAAGCGTCAATACAGGACTAAGATTGAATAGTACTACACCGGCTCCGACGCTTGTCGGATGTGGCAGGGCTTGCAATCTATTACAGACTACATAGGGAAGCACAGCCACAAGCTGCCCAGTGACACGAGCATACCAGACGAGCTAACTTAATTCTATGCTCGCTTCGAGGCAAGCAACACTGAAACATGCATGAGAGCATCAGCTGCTCCGGACGACTGTGTGATCACACACTCCGTAGCCGATGTGGGTAAGACCTTTAAACAGGTCAGCATTCACAAATCCGTAGGGCCAGACGGATTACCAGGACGTGTACTCAGAGCATGCGCTGACCAACTGGCAAGTCTCTTCAATTACATTTTCAACCTGTCCCTGACCGAGTCTGTAATACCAACATGTTTCAAGCAGCCCACCATAGTCCATGTGCCCAAGAACACTAAGGTAACGTGCCTAAATGACTACAGACCCATAGCACTCAAATCTGTAGCCATGAAGTGCTTTGAAAGGCTGGTCATGGCTCACATCAACACCATTATCCCAGTAACCCTAGACCAACTCCAATTAGGATACCGCCCCAACAGATCCACAGATGATGCAATCTCTATTGCACTCCACACTGCCCTTTCCGCTTGGACAAAAGGAACACCTACGTGAGAATGCTATTCATTGACTACAGCTCAGCGTTCACCACCATAGTGCCCTCAAAGCTCAACACTAAGCTAAGGACCCTGGTACAACCTCTATGAGATTGGTGTCCCGTTTACGGGAAGGTTGAGCTAACGTGCGCTAATGTGTTTAGCATGACTGTTGTAAGTAACAGCAAACTTTAACACCTCCCTCTGCAACTGGATCCTGGACTTCCTGACGTGCCGCCCCCAGGTGGTAAGGGTAGGTAACAACACATCTGCCACACTGATCCTCAACACTGGGTTGAGAAGTGGTAGGCCTACCCTAGTCAAAGACTGTTCTCTCTGCTAAGGCATCGCAAGCGTTACGGGAGTGCCAAATCTAGGTCCAAAAGGCTTCTTAACAGCTTCTACCCCCAAGCCACAAGACTCCTGAACAGCTAATCAAATGGCTACCCAGACTATTTGCATTGTTTTTCTTAAAACTGCATTGTTGGTTATGGGCTTGTAATTAAGCATTCACAACGATGCTAAGCACACAGCCAAGACAACGCAGGAGGCTTCGGGACAGGTCTCTGAATGTCCTTGAGTGGCCCAGCCAGAGCCCTTACTTGAACCCGATCAAACATCTCTGGAGAGACCTGAAAATAGATGTGCAGCGAAGCTCCCCATCCAACCTGACAGAGCTTGAGAGGATCTGCAACAAAGAATGGGAGAAACTCCCCAAATATATCAAATACACCTGTATTAGGCAAAAGGAGGTGTTCTGTCCCAGGCTCCTGAGCTTAATGATGAGCTTGGAGGGCACTATGGTGTTGAACGCTGAGCTATAGTCCATGAACAGCATTCTCACGTAGGTGTTCCTCTTGTCCAGGTGGGAGAGGGCCTTGTGGAGTGCAATAGAGATTGTGTCATCTGTGGATCTGTTGGAACAGTGTGTGAATTGGAGTGGGTCCATGGTGTCTGGGATGATGGTATTTTTGTGAACCATGACCAGCATTTCAAAGCATTTCATGGCTACAGATGATAGTCATTTAGACAGGTTACCTTGGCGTTATTGGGCACAGGGACTATGGTGGTCTGCTTGAAACATGTACTGTAGGTATTACAGACTGCGTCAACGAGAGGTGAAAATATCAGTGAAGGCACTTGCCAGCTGGCAGCGCATGCTCTGAGTACGCGTCCTGGTAATCTGTCTGGCCCTGTTACCAGTTTTAAAGTTCTTACTCACATAGGCTACAGGGAGTGAGATCACACAGTCACCCGAAACATCTGGTGCTCTCATGCATGTTTCAGTTTTGCTTGCCTCGAAGCGAGCATAGAAGGAATTTAGCTTGTCTAGTTGGCTCGTGTCACTGGGAAGCTCGCGGCTGGGTTTCCCTTTGTACTCCGTGATAGTTTGCAAGCCCTGCGACATCTGACGAGCGTCAGAGCCGGCTTAGTAGGATTCGATCTTAGTCCTGTATTGACGTTTTTACTGTTTGATGGCTCGTCGGTAGTAGTAGTGGGATTTCTAATAAGTGTCCGGATTAGTGTCCCACTCCTTGAAAGTGGCAGCTTTAGCCGTTAGCTCAGTGCAGATATTGCCTGTAATTCAAGGGTTCTGGTTGGGATATGTACGCACAGTCACTGTTGGGACGACATCGTTGATGCACTTAAACTCCTCAATGTTATCGGATGAATCACGGAACATATTCTAGTCTGTGCTAGCCAATCATCCCCTTCTCTATTGAGCGTGTCACTGGTACTTCATGTTTGAGTTTTTGCTTGTAATCAGGAATCAGGAGGATAGAGTTATGGTCAGATTTGCCACATGAAGGGCGAGGGAGAGCTTTGTATGTGTTTCTATGTGTCGAGTAAAGGTGATCTAGAGTTGTTTTGCCTCTAGTTGCACAGGTGACATGCTGGTAAAAATGAGGTAGGACAGATTTCAGTTTCCCTGCATTAAAATCGCTGGCCACTAGGAGCGCCGCCTCTGGATGTGCATTTTATTGTTCGCTTATGGCCCTATACAGCTCGTTGAGTGTGGTCTTAGTGCCAGCATTAGTTTGTGGTGTTAAATAGACAGTTACAAAAAATACAGATGAAAACTCTCTTGGGCTGCAGTTTATCATTACGTTTTTCAACTCAGGCGAGCAAAACCTTGAGACTACCTTAACATTAGAAATTGTGCACCAGCTGTTTTTAACAAAGAGATACAAACCTCCCCCCTTTAACCTTACCCGAAGCTGCCATTTCGGTCTTGATGATGCATAGAAAAAGTACTAGATTTATATTATCCAGGTCCTTGTTCAGCCACGACTCCAAGAAACATAGGATATTACAGTTCTTCAGGTTCCGTTGATAGGATAGTCTCGAACGGAGCTCGTCCAGTTAGTTCTCTAGTGATTGTACGTTCGCCAATAGAACTGAGGGTAGAGGCGGTTTACTTACTCGTCAACGCAGTCTCATCAGGGAGCCCTCTCGTTTGCCTCTCTTGCGTCGTCTCTTCCTCTTTCGAGTCCCGGGGATTAGGGCCTGGTCCGGGATGAGCAGTAGTGTTCTGATGTCCAGAAACTGTTTTTGGTCATAGGAAATGATGGCGGAATGATTCTGTACAAAAAAAGTTTAGATCAGCGTAAGAAAAACTGAAAATAGTACAATTGGTCAGGAGCCCGTAAGACGGCAGCTATCCATCTCTTCAGCGCTATCAGAGTTCTCTGTCCCTTGAAATCAGCCCGCTATTACCAATTGACACTCTTTCAGTTAGCTTCAATCCTACGGACTATATCCCACCATGTTAATATCATAATGAGTTGTGTTTTTGAAACATATATTTTCATGAGTGTTTTAGGATATGTCAGACGTACATTTCCATAGCAGCCACACACAGCATCCGTGTGGTGAGTGGATCAATGACCCAGCAGGAATTAATTTAAATGATGGCACTTGTAAAGCTGTCAGAACATCATAGTAACGAGGGAGGGATAATGTTGACAGCAATAAAAGACAGAGGACATGCACCTTATAGCCTTATAGTACTGAATTGCAATAAGTCTGAACTGCACGGCAAGCCACTAACACATCGCCTCACCACCACTTTTCGCATCACAGCCGTCAGGCTCTCTTTTCCCCTAACACAATATGGGGCACATTTTCAGTGATAGACCTAGATCAGGAATGGGCAACTGGCGGCCCTCCTTTTGAAGGCCCTCAGATCAACTTACTGTTGTGAGTTAGAATAGTACAATGCACAAGGTGCAATTTTGACATTTGGTTGTGCATAAGCCATTTTTCTTGTTATGTCAGTCACTGATAGTCAATTTGCCTATGTCAGCAAAAAAAGTTTTGATTGGTAAGTCAAGCGGCCAGCTTTCTAAACATAGTAATCATGGTCGAATTACCGGCCAGGGGGCCCCCATTGATTTTGTTAATCAGTCTCACTCAGATATCATATTAAAAACTGTAGAATTGCAGGACATTTTCTTTAAAACTGCAACATTTTCTCTACGCCACATGACAAAATGTGTCAAATTTCACTAAATGGATGTGGGTACGCAGACTCGCGAGCAACTGTGGCCCCTTATGATTTTTTGTGGCCCCCACCCCTATCAAAGTTGTCCATCCCTGGCCTAGATGATTTCCAGGCCATAGAGACCATGGCATCTACAGAAAACATACACTATTATTAGGCCGGGAATCATAAGGGCTATCATTAGATTTTCCTCATTAGTAGTAGAGATTAAAGTAGCAGAGTTATTACACAGTGAATAATTCAGTAGAGTGAGATTTGTTGACCAGGTCTGCGTCCCAAATGGCACCCTATTCCTTATATAGTGTGCTAGTTTTGACCAGGGCCCAAAGAGCTTTGGTCAAACGAAGTGCACTAAATATGGAATAGGGTGCCATTTGGGACAAAGCCCAGGTCTCCTGTCTGCTTCTCACCCCTGTGTCTGTTAGTACAAGTAGCTAGGTGAAGGGCATAAACAAGCTGTAGAGAAAAAAGGTTTCTTGGGCAATGATTAGGAGTTTGTTGTGCTAAATCATCTCTTTAAAGGGACTTGTGGTTAGTCTCCTGCTGAGATAGAGATGGGTTAGGTTGAGGAAGGAATCTTCTACATGTTCACTCCAAATTAAGTATGATGAATAGGTTTTGTGTTATCTTGCCCTGTTGAGAATCTCAAATGTCTTCAAGGGAAAACTTTTTTGTCATGAATTCACAACTTGGGGAGGCCTCATGAGCAATATTCAGAGCTGCTGTGATTCATTCCAAAGATCCAAATAAATTCACAGAAAGGGTTCTGCTTTCAAGCTTACACTAGACGTTAATCTTTAGTGGTAAGATTATGCGTGTAAACAGAGAGAATATGTCAGGGCTGTAATAGAATGGCTGGGGTTTATGTCACTGATTATTTGGACGAATCAGGATTGGACGAAGGCGGTGCTTAATTAAAAAAATTAGGGGCAGTGATTTCAAGCCTGTGTGCTGCAGTAATTAGTTAGTGGAAGGAGGCAGGGAAGATGGAAGAAGCAAGTTAGCGTTTTTCATCATGAATCTTGTTCTGGAGGTAGGTCTTCAGAGTGGTCACTAGCTGGCACAGCCAAAATGTCATCAAATCCGTAATGCCTAACCCTAACCTTAAATTAAGACCAAAAAGCTAATTTTAGTTTTCATGAATTTTTACAATATAGCCAATTTTGACTTTGCAGCTGGTCTATCTAAGGGGAAATCACTCAGTTCTGCCTCCAGGACAAGACTCGTGACAATAAACCTGCATGGAGTTAAGGGAATACTATTAAGGGAAAAACTATTTTCAAGACTACTTCAAGAACCGCCTACTCGTCTATTTTGCATTAATGAATGCAAGCAAAGCATTCATTTTCTTATGTGACACACCAGAGGAGGAAAAAGCTACTTTTGCATTTTCACTTGTCAGTGTGTCAAAGGACTGAACACAATAAAATAACAATGACTTGCATGCATACAACTTTACTTAGGCAAAATTAAATATCATTTGGGGGCATTGCATAGATTTTACTTTGAGTACTAGCAAACCCCCAAATCCTAATTTCTGCCATGTTCTATTTCTCTCAAGATTTTCAAAACAGTAAAACAAAAATGGTTTTGTATGCTGGTCCACAATACCCATAATGCCCAGCACTTTATGGGGACAATCCATTATGCATTCACTTGATACATTAAATATGTGTGCAAATCATAAACCTTCCTTTACTGATTGCAATATATCTTAGTGTGGTATCTTATACATGTTTTATTTAACCTTTATTTTAACAGGGAATATATATTGAGACCTAGGTCTCATTTACAAATGTGCCCTGAATATACAACATTAATATACACATTATACCCAAACTATATATACACATTTAAATACAAAAACACAGTCATGGGAAGCACAAATAATCCGTAACAAATCACCCAGAAAAAGAGTGACATTCCTCCACAAATAAGTCACCAATCAATACTTAAAATTGCCTGAACAGCACCACAGAACATCAAGATGAAATGTATTTAGAATTTTGTTCCAGCAATACGGTGCAATAAAACTAAAAGCAAATGTACCTTGCTCAGTGGAGACCCTAGGAACCTCAAGAGTTAACCAATCCTGTGAATGGGTTAAGCAACTCAGGTGTCTATACTTCAACAGCCAGCCAACCTTTTGATACAGGATGCAGTGATGAGTATCTGTCACGCCCTGGCTGTGGGACTCTGTTATGTTGAGCCAGGGTGGGTTGTTTCTATGTGTTTTGTGTGCTAGGTTGTTTATCTAGTTCATTTGTTTCTATGTTGGCCGGTGTGGTTCTCAATCAGAGGCAACGTGAATCAGCTGTTGCTTGTTGTCTCTGATTGGGAGCCATACTTAGGTAGCCTGTTTTTCCACAGTGTTTGTGGGATCTTGTTCCGTGTTTGGTTAGTGTCTATTGCCAAGGACGTCACGTATCGTTTTGTTCGTGTGATCATTAAAAATAAAAGTATGTTCGCATTCCACGCTGCGCCTTGGTCCTCTGTGTTCGACGATCATGACAGAAGATCCCACCATAACTGGACCAAGCAGCATGTCCAGGAGCCAACGCCAGAGAGGGCTCTAAAGGATATCAACCTCGACTGGGTCAAGCAGCGTGAGGAAGAGAGAGGCTGGACTTGGGAGCAGAGGAGCGAGAGTCTGGCGAGAGCCATGGAGGCCTGGCCCACGGGGAGGAGAGACGCCCAGAAAATGTTTAGGGGGGGGCTCACGCCGTGGACGACGGGGCAGCAGGAGGCCGGGATAGAGTGGTTCAGCTGGTTGGCAAAGGAGGCCGCCAGGTTACGGGAGTCACTGGTCACCAGGGGGAAGGAGAATGTAGAGGCACGGCGAGAGGTACTGGGGTGTGTTGCCAGTCCGGTCTGGCCCGTTCCTGATCCCCGCGTAGGGCCAGTGGTGTGTGTCCCCAGTACGGTCCGGCTTGTTCCTGTCCCTCGCACCGAGACTGTGGTGCGCGTCGCCAGCCCGGCCCGGCCTGTTCCTGCTCCCCGCACCAAGCCAATGGTGCGCGTCGCCAGCCCGGCCCGGCCCGTTCCTGCTCCCCGCACCAAGCCTGTGGTGCGCATCGTCAGCCCGGTCCGGCCCGTTCCTGCTCCCCGCACCAAGCCTGTGGTGCGCTTCGTCAGCCCGGTCCAGCCCGTTCCTGCTCCCCGCACCAAGCCTGTGGTGCGCTTCGTCAGCCCGGTTCGCCCCGTCCCTGCTCCCCGCACCAAGCCTGTGGTGCGCTTCGTCAGCCCGGTTCGGCCCGTCCCTGCTTCCCGCACCAAGCCTGTGGTGCGCGTCGTCAGTCCGGCACAGCCCGTGCCTGGGTCACCGGTACCTGGTCAGGTACCGTTCAGCTTCTCCACATCGGAGCCTGAGCGATCCGCTCCACCGATGTCCAGTCCAGATCCAGCCAGCAGGGCCAGACCGGAACCGCCTCCGAGGAGGAATGCCCACCCGGCCTTCCCCTGTTCGGTTTATGTTTGGCGCGGTTGCAGTCCGCGCCTTTGGGGGGGGGTACTGTCACGCCCTGGCTCTGGGACTCTGTTATGTTGAGCCAGGGTGGGTTGTTTTTATGTGTTTTGTGTGCTAGGTTGTTTATCTAGTTCATTTGTTTCTATGTTGGCCGGTGTGGTTCTCAATCAGACGTGAATCAGCTGTTGCTTGTTGTCTCTGATTGGGAACCATACTTAGGTAGCCTGTTTTTCCACAGTGTTTGTGGGATCTTGTTCCGTGTTTGGTTTGTGTCTATTGCCAAGGACGTCACGTATCGTTTTGTTCGTGTGATCATTAAAAATAAAAGTATGTTCGCATTCCACGCTGCGCCTTGGTCCTCTGTGTTCGACGATCGTGACAGTATCAAAACTGTCACATGTAACAAAACAAAGGGCACTATGGTAGATGGCATCCAAAGGTTTAAGAGTAGTAGCAGCTGCATCTTGATAAATAATATCACCATAATCAAGGACAGATAGAAAGGTTGACTGAATAATCTGCTTCCTACTCCTTAGAGAAAGGCACAATCTGTTTCTGTAGAAAAAGCCAACTTTAAACCTTAGCTTCTTAACCAGCTCAACTATATGTTTTTTAAACGTCAAATCCATATCAATACACATGCCTAAGTATTTATATGCAGGAAAACGTTAGATTGGAGAACCATCTAATGAGTGAACGTGTAGTTCATTTGAAACATTTTTACGAGAGTTTGAAAAGAACATCTATTTAGTGTTAGTATGAAGCACCATTTTTAAATCAGTAAGGGATTCCTGAATAGCTATAAAATCTGACTGTAGTTTTGATATAACCAGATCAACAGCTGGGGCAATAGCATACATAATAGTATCATCCGCATATACAGTGGGGAAAAAAAGTATTTAGTCAGCCACCAATTGTGCAAGTTCTCCCACTTAAAAAGATGAGAAAGGGCTGTAATTTTCATCATAGGTACACGTCAACTATGACAGACAAAATGAGTTTTTTTTTTCTCCAGAAAATCACATTGTAGGATTTTTAATGAATTTATTTGCAAATTATGGTGGAAAATAAGTATTTGGTCAATAACAAAAGTTTCTCAATGCTTTGTTATATAGCCTTTGTTGGCAATGACACAGGTCAAACATTTTCTGTGAGAGCCAGAAATCTTGCTTGTTTGTAGGTGACCAAATACTTATTTTCCACCATAATTTGCAAATAAATTCATTAAAAATCCTACAATGTGATTTTCTGGATTTTTTTTTCTCATTTTGTCTGTCATAGTTGACGTGTACCTATGATGAAAATTACAGGCCTCTCTCATCTTTTTAAGTGGGAGAACTTGCACAATTGGTGGCTGACTAAATACTTTTTTCCCCCACTGTAGATTATTATTATATATTTTTTTTTACAGATTGACCAATGGTGTTTATATAAATAGTGAAGAGAACAGGTCCCAAAATCGACCCCTGTGGTACACCTTTATGTACTTCAAGAAATTCAGACTTAACCCCAGTTCTGTCACTAAGATAATCATGAAACCATGAACAGGCGCCAGAGCTGAGGCTGGACAACATATTTTCAATATAACAGTATCAAAAGCTTTTGACAGGTCCACAAAAAAGTGGCACATATAATTGTAGTGTCTAATGCATTGACAATACTATTAACAACTAACGTGGTTGCTGTAATACTGCTATGCCCAGGCATAAACCCAGATTAGTTTACATTCAAAATACATTTCTCAGATTAAAAAAGAGCAAAGTTGTACATTTACCAAGGATTCAAGATGGAAGCCTTGAAATTTGGCAATAATTATTAAGATCACTACTATCCACACCCTAATGGAGTGGCAGCACAAGAGCTGATTTCCATACTTTTGGAACATTTCCTGCTAACAATGTTAAAAAGAAAATGTGAGTTATGTACAAGCTGTACAAAAACCACCACTAACTTGATAACAAAAAAATCTATATATAGTGCATCAGCAATGCATAGCCACAGGAAATAGAGGTGCTGGGGGTGCTGCAGCAAATCATTTTGCCAACATTTTCTTTATGACCGACATAAATAAAATCATTCAAAATACTACACGAGAGAGCATCATTTAGCCACAGAGGATCAATAGCTTTTAAAAAAAAAGTGTTTTACTACAAGCACTTACAGTCGGGCAAATATAGAACAGATTGTATTGTGGCTATAGACATAATTTTTTACATTTACATTTTAGTCATTTAGCAGACGCTCTTATCCAGAGCGACTTCCAATTAGTGAGTGCATACATTTTTCATACTGCCCCCCCCCCCCCCCATATAAGAATGTTGTAGCCTCTAACCCTGGCACTTTGACTGTTAAGATCATGGGTAAACTAGCACTGGTTTCCAGTCCTGACTTGAATGGGAATTGCCATCTATGGATTATATTTCTATGGTTGGTTGCAGCTGTCAATTTGCACAGTCAGTGTCACTGGAAAGTGTATTTATTCTAAATAAGAATAGAATATGTTTCTGAACACTTCTACATTAATGTGGATGCTGTAATTTCTAAACGGTTCACCCGATATGGATGAAAATACCCTCCAAATAAAGATGTGCTATGCAGCAATCGCTCCGTCATTTCCTGGTTGCTAAAATTCTAATAGTTTGCCTAATTTCAGTTTATGTGACAAAACAATAAAGTATATTGTAGAGAATAATTTTACCACCTAAACCGCTGTGAAATAATGTATATTTTCCATAACCAAGCTGAAGCTGGTGTACAAAACCAAAGTAAAAGACGCAAAAATGAAAAAACGGGAAGCGTAGAAATATCACAAATAGAACAGATCTACTGCTTCTTATACTTGATTTCAATGAGAATGACAGATCTATAACTCACATTTCTATATTCATTTTGTCAGGTCGACCAAAAAGTTATATATTACAGCTTTAAAGCTGACAGTCTGCATTTTAACCTCATAGTCATTGTACCATTTCAAATCCAAGTGCTGGAGTACAGAGTCAAAACAACAACAACATGTCCACTGTCCCAATAATTTTGTAACTCACTTCAGAAAGTATTCACGCCTAGGGCTGTGGCGGTCACAAAATTTTGTCAGCCGGTAACTATCGATCTCACGGTAATTGACCGTTAATTAACATAAACACATTTAGCCTGTCCTGGCTTCCACACATAGCCTACAAGCCACTGAAGCAGACTTTTGGAACATCTACATTTAAAAAAGTCTAATAAATCTGTGTAATATGGCCTACACCTTCACAATAAATCCATTATTTATTTTAGACAGGTCTGAAAAGCATGAAATTAAGAAAATGTAGTCTATTTTAGTGGTTAACAAAGAAATACGTACTCCTATATGCTTAATTTAGAGTTGTTCATGTAACTTTAGTTGTTCTACAAACATTGGGCTATATGTTTAGATTTGTAATACATTGCAAGGCTGCATGATGAGACTAATGTTTGTGATGATTTTAAAAAAGTCGCTTGAAAGGCATGAGCTCTGCTTTGTTTTTTTGCGCAGGCTGTACACACTTCAATAGTCTCTCATTCACAATTAGACAAGCACTTGATAATGCCTCAAATTTCATAGCAGCATCCCCTTTGTGGCCGTAATGCACCCTAAAACAATCAATGCCTTTTGCGACCCAGAGTGCTGCGCAATCCCTGAGTGCTGCGCAATCTGAAGCGCCTCTCATGCACATGGCTCTCCATCACCTTATCAGGTCTTTCTCACAGGCTACAAGTGAAGACAGACACATCGGGGACGCAACTGCGCGCATCCTTATCCAATTCCGAGGTGCATATTAAATATATTGGAAGAACTGTCCACATTTACTTTTCGTCAGCCAACAAGATGAGTAGGCCTAACGAACAGCAAAAGCGCTAGCCTATGTCAATCTACTATCCCCCATAGTACAAACGTTGACCTATTCTATTCTGTGCAATAAATAAATATTCCAAACATAGTCTGGGATAGTTGTGGGGTGCAATAGATCCCAAATTAATACAACCACTAGCATCCCCAAAAACGTTTTTACGCAATGTGACTGACGCAACAGATCAGAACGTTTAGCTTAAAACGTTGATCAACTATTAGGCTATTTCTTCACATTATAAGCACAGCAATGCACACATGGCAGTAGGCTACAAGCGCGAATGTTCCATTAGTGGGAAAACACCATCATCAAAAGAGACCGCAAATGCGATTATGCATGTAATGCTTTTATTATAAAGGTGCATTTTTACGGTGAAAATGATCTTCCCCAAACTTGAAACTCATGCGCTGCTTATGTATGCCAGATAGGCTCTAAACCCCTTGTAAAGCGGATTAATGTGCTTAATTTTAAGAAGTTATTTTTATCATAGGTACACTTCAACTGTGAGAGACGGAATCTAAAACAAAAATCCAGAAAATCACATTGTATGATTTTTAAGTAATTAATTTGCATTTTATTGCATGACATAAGTATTTGATCACCTACCAACCAGTAGCCGGCCGCGACCGGGAGACCCATGGGGCGGCGCACAATTGGCCCAGCGTCGTCCAGGGTAGGGGAGGGAATGGCCGGCAGGGATGTAGCTCAGTTGGTAGAGCATGGCGTTTGCAACGACAGGGTTGTGGTTTTGATTCCCACGGGGGACCAGTATGAAAATAAATAAATATATATACATATATATATAATAAGTAATGTATGCACTAACTGTAAGTCGCTCTGGATAAGAGCGTCTGCTAAATGACTAAAATCTAAAATGTAAATGTAAGAATTCCGGCTCTCACAGACCTGTTAGTTTTTCTTTAAGAAGCCCTCCTGTTCTCCACTCATTACCTCTATTAACTGCACCTGTTTGAACTCGTTACCTGTATAAAAGACACCTGTCCACACACTCAATCAAACAGACTCCAACCTCTCCACAATGGCCAAGACCAGAGAGCTGTGTAAGGACATCAGGGATACAATTGTAGACCTGCACAAGGCTGGGATGGGCTACAGGACAATAGGCAAGCAGCTTGGTGAGAAGGCAACAACTGTTGGCGCAATTATTAGAAAATGGAAGAAGTTCAAGATGACGGTCAATCACCATCGGTCTGGGGCTTCATGCAAGATCTCACCTCGTGGGGCATGAATGATCATGAGGAAGGTGAGGGATCAGCCCAGAACTACACGGCAGGACCTGGTCAATGACCTGAAGAGAGCTGGGACCACAGTCTCAAAGAAAACCATTAGTAACACACTACGCCGTCATGGATGATTAAAATCCTGCAGCGCACACAAGGTCCCCCTGCTCAAGCCAGCGCATGTCCAGGCCCGTCTGAAGTTTTCCAATGACCATCTGGATGATCCAGAGGAGGAATGGGAGAAGGTCATGTGGTCTGATGAGACAGAAATAGAGCTTTTTGGTCTAAACTCCACTCACCGTGTTTGGAGGAAGAAGAAGGATGAGTACAACCCCAAGAACACCATCCCAACCGTGAAGCGTGGCAGTGGAAACATCATTCTTTGGGGATGCTTTTCTGCAAAGGGGACAGGACGACTGCACCATATTTAGGGGAGGATGGATGGGGCCATGGATCGCGAGATCTTGGCCAACAACCTCCTTCCCTCAGTAAGAGCATTGAAGATGGGTCGTGGCTGGGTCTTCCAGCATGACAACGACCCGAAACACACAGCCAGGGCAACTAAGGAGTGGCTCCGTAAGAAGCATCTCAAGGTCCTGGAGTGGCCTAGCCAGTCTCCAGACCTGAACCCAATAGAAAATCTTTGGAGGGAGCTGAAAGTCTGTATTGCCCAGCGACAGCCCCGAAACCTGAAGGATCTGGAGAAGGTCTGTATAGAGGAGTGGGCCAAAATCCCTGCTGCAGTGTGTGCAAACCTGGTCAAGACCTACAGGAAACGTATGATCTCTGTAATTGCAAACAAAGGTTTCTGTACCAAATATTAAGTTCTGCTTTTCTGATGTATCAAATACTTATGTCATGCAATAAAATGCAAATTAAGTACTTAAAAATCATACAATGTGATTTTCTGGATTTTTGTTTTAGATTCCGTCTCTCACAGTTGAAGTGTACCTATTATAACAATTACAGACCTCTACATGCTTTGTAAGTAGGAAAACCTGCAAAATCAGCAGTGTATCAAATACTTGTTCTCCCCACTGTATGTGTGAAATTTGTTTAGATTTAGAATGGACCATTATCATGAACCTGTCTCAAAACAGTGGCAGCGGAAAAAATATGTCATATATGCACTTAAATCGTGAATGGAGGATGCTTTTCCTGTGGTTAATTTTCATGCCAGCCAGGTAGGCTATACTCCTATTGTAAAGATAAACAATGTGCTTAATATTAAGAAAGTAGAGAAATAAATATAGTATGCCTAGTCTATAGAAAGCTGATGGGATCCTCCTCTATTTAGTAGAGGCCATCACTCTGTTTTCTCGCGCAATTGCAAAGCCTTTAGAAATGTTGCGCAACATGAGCTTTGATTCGATTTTTGAAACATTAGCATTTATGTCAGAGTGATTAGAGGGACAATAGAGTGCTGATTACCAGGCAGTTAGCAAGTTTGGTAGGCTACTAATGACCATCATCAGCATCAGAACTTGGAGAAGCCTAATTACCTTGACTAAACGGTTATGTGGAATTTGACTGCCTTCATGACTTGTGACCGCCGGTGTGGTGTTAATACGGACACCGCAACAGCCCTATTCACGACCCTAGACTTTTTCCACATTTTGTTGTGTTACAGCCTGAATATAAAATTGATAAAATTGATTGAAACGCAATACCCCATAATGTCAAAGTGGACATTTTTTGTTGTTGAAATGTTTACAAATGGTCCTCTGTAGCTCAATTGGTAGAGCATGGTGCTTGTAACGCCAGGGTATTGGGTTCGATTCCCGGGACCACCCATACCTAAAAATGTATGCACACATGACTGTAAGTCGCTTTGGATAAAAGCGTCTGCTAAATGGCATATTATATTATTAAAAGCTGAAATGTCTTGAGTCAGTAAGTATTCAACCCCTTTGCTATGGCATGCCTAATTAAGTTCAGGATCAAAAAATTGCTTAACAAGTCACATAAGTTGCATGGACTCACTCTGTGTGCAATAATAGAGTTTAATATGATTTTTGAATGACAAGCTCCTCTCTGTATCCCACACATACAATTATCTATAAGGTCCCTCAGTCGAGCAGTGAATTTCAATCACAGACACAACCACAAAGACCAGGGAGGTTTTCCAAAGACTCACAAAGAAGGGCTCCTATTGGTAGATGGGTAAAAAAAAAAGCAGACATTGAATGTCCGTTTGAGCATGGTGAAGTTATTAATTACACTTTGAGCGGTGTATCAATACATCAAGTCACTACAAAGATACAGGCATCCTTCCTAACTCAGATGCCGTAGAGGAAGGAAACCTCTTAGGGATTTCACCATGAGGCCAATGGTGACTTTAAAACAGCTAAAGAGTTTAATGGCTGTGATAAAAAACTGAGGATGGAACAACAACATTGTAGTTACTCTCCAATACTAACCTAATTGACAGAGTGAAAAGAAGAAAGCCTGTACAGAATACAAATATTCCAAACATGCATCCTGTTTGCAATAAAAATATGGCAAACAATTCACTTTTTGTCCTGAATACAAAGTGAATTGTTTGGGGCATATCCAATACAACACATTACTGAGTACCACTCTCCATATTTACAAGCACAGTGGTGGCTGCCTGCATCATGTTATGGTATGCTTGTAATTGTTAAGGACTGGGGAGTTTTTCAGAAAAAAAAAGAAGAAAAGGAATGGAGCTAAGAACAGGCAACATCCTAGAGGAAAACCTGGTTCAGTCTGCTTTTCACCAGACACTGGGAGATTAACTCACTTTTCAGCAGGCCAATAACCTAAAATACAACGTCAAATCTACACTGGAGTTGCTTACCAAGAAGACAGTGAATGTTCCTGAGTGGCCACGTTACAGTTTGACGTAAATCTACTTGAAAATCTATGGCAAGACCTGAAAATGGTTGTCTAGCAATGATCAACAACCAATTTGACAGAGCTTGAAGATTTTTTAAAAGAATAATGCGCAAATGTTGCACAATCCAGGTGTTGAAATCTCATAGAGACTTACCCAGAAAGACTCACAACTGTAATTGCTGCCAAAGGTGTTTCTACAAAGTATTAACTCAGGAGTGTGGATATTTATGTAAAATAGATATTTATTTATTTCATTTTCAATACATTTGCAAACATTTTTAAAAACATGTTTTCACTTTGTCATTATGGGGGATTGTGTGTAGATGGGTGAGAAAAAACATCTATTAATCCATTTTGAATTCAGTCTGTAACACAACAAAAGTCAATGGGTATGAAAACTTTCTGAAGGCACTGTATATATATGGCGCCGGACCAGGGTTTCTGTTATGAAAATGTGGCACCGGACATTTGACAGGCAGCATTTTAATTTTCCAGACATTTGAGAAATGTAATGGACCCATATGCATTGGGTGTGTAACCTGATTAGGGCATCTACCCATGGTGCTCAGAATGACATAAATCACATTTAGATTATGGTAATTCATATTAATAGAACATGCAAGTCGAGGATGCAACAAAGTGCATCCTTCTTACCGAATTCCGATGCACTGTATATACAGTTGAAGTCGGAAGTTTACATACACCTTAGCCAAATACATTTAAACTCAGTTTTTCACAATTCCTGACATTTAATCCTAGTAAAAATTCCCTGTTTTAGGTCAGTTAGGATCACCACTTTATTTTAAGAATGAGAAATGTCAGAATAATAGCAGAGCGAATGATTGATTTCTTTCAGCTTTTATTTATTTCATCACATTCCCAGGGGGTCAGAAGTTCACATACACTCAATTAGTATTTGGTAGCATTGCCTTTAAATTATTTAACCTTTGTCAAACGTTTCGGGTTCCACAAGCTTCCCACAATAAGTTGGGTGAATTTTGGCCCATTCCTCGTGACAGAGCTGGTGTAACTGAGTCAGGTTTGTAGGCCTCCTTGCTCGCACACGCTTTTTCAGTTCTGCCCACATAATTTCTATAGGAATGAGGTCAGGGCTTTGTGATGGCCACTCCAATACCTTGACTGTGTTGTCCTTAAGCCATTTTGCCACAACTTTGGAAATATGCTTGGGGTCATTGTCCATTTGGAAGACCACTTGCGACAAACCTTTAACTTCCTGACTGATGTCTTGAGATGTTGCTTCAATATATCCACATAATTTTCCTTCCTCATGATGCCATCTATTTTGTGAAGTACACCAGTCTCTCCTGCAGCAAAGCACCCCCACAGCATGATGCTGCCACCCCCGTGCTTCACGGTTGGGATGCTGTTCTTCGGCACCCACCTTTTTCCTCCAAACATAACAATGGTCATTATGGCCAAACAGTTCTATTTTTGTTTCATCAGACCAGAGGACATTTCTCCAAAATGTATGATCTTTGTCCCCATGTGCAGTTGCAAACCGCAGTCTGGCTTTTTTATGGCGGTTTTGGAGCAGTGGCTTCTTCCTTGCTGAGCGGCCTTTCAGGTTATGTCGATATAGGACTTGTTTTACTGTGGATATAGATACTTGTGTACCTGTTTCCTCCATCTTCACAAGGTCCTTTGCTGTTGTTCTGGAATTGATTTGCACTTTTCGCACCAAAGTACATTCATCTCTAGGAGAAGGAACGTGTCTCCTTCCTGAGCGGTATGGTGTTTATACTTGCGTACTATTGTTTGTACAGATGAACGTGGTACCTTCAGGTGTTTGGAAATTGCTCCCAAGGATAAACCAGACTTGTGGAGGTCTACAATATTTGTTCTGAGTTCTTGGCTGATTTCTTTTGATTTTCCCATGATGTCAAGCAAAGAGGCAGCTTCTAAAGCTATGACATCATTTTCTGGAATTTTCCAAGCTGTTTAAAGGCACAGTCAACTTAGTGTATGTAAACTTCTGACCCACTGGAATTGTGATACAGTGAATTATAAGTGAAATAATCTGTCTGTAAACAATTGTTGGAAAAATTACTTGTGTCATGCACAAAGTAGATGTCCTGATCGACTTGCCAAAACTATAGTTTGTAAACAAGAAATTTGTGGAGTGGTTGAAAAATGAGTTTGAATGATTCCAACCTAAATGTAGGTTAACTTCCGACTTCAACTGTATGTTTAACACACGATTGCATTTAGAATTGTTGCGCAATGATTGGGCTTATAAAAGCGCTGTCTGACAGATTTTCCGCTCAAAGGCTCTATAGCTGTATGCTGTGTGCTATGTGCATGTGATCAATAAGATACATAACGAATATACATGTGCCAATTTAATTCTACTAAATTCTGCAAATTAACCCATAGACTGATAAGCTTGACCTGTCAAATGTATTTCCATATACTGGTATTTTAGGCTAAAAAGCATTATTTCGCAAAAGTTTTTTTTTTTTTTCTTCTCCAGGACAATTGGCTGGTGGTATACAATAATAATAAGGATAAAAAAATTAATAATAATAATAATAATAATAATAATAATAATAATAATAATAACAATAATAAAAAATTGCATCCTACCTAAATTGCGAGTTGCACAGTAGCCTGCATTTTGTGTGGTATTAAAAAAGATTCTGCTAATGTCTTCTATCATGTAAGTGACGTAGAATGCATGAAATGTGTTTATAAAAGGCCCATTACTTTCCACACCCTGCAAAAATGTTTTCGCCATTTGTGGAAATCCTAAAACACGTCTGCTCAACTGTATGCTATGCAAATGCAATTATACATTTTAGTCATTTAGCAGACGCTCTTATCCAGAGCGACTTACAGGAGCAAGTAGGGTTAAGTGCCTTGCTCAAGGGCACATCGACAGATTTTTCACCTTGTCGGCTCGGGGATTAGAACCAGCAACCTTTCGGTTACTGGCACTACGCTCTTAACCACTAAGCTACCTGCCGCATGCAATGTGTTACCAACTCAAAACATCTTCCCTCGGGTATGCAGCAATGTACATTGTTATTACAAGGAAATAAAAGCCCAGAGAGCCTTTGGGATAATGCAACAAGACTTGTCCGCTCAATACTTAGATAATGTCCTACAATCCCAATGCTGAGCAATTGTTATCTGCAAGAAAAACTGCTACCAGTTGACGAGCCATAAATCAAGTCCTGCTCCTTCCTCTCAATCACTAATAAACCCTCCCCGCTGAGCTCAGCAGCATCCTCTCTCTCTCTCTCTCTCTCTCTCTCTCTCTCTCTCTCTCTCTCTCTCTCTCTCTCTCTCTCTCTCTCTTTTTCTCTAATCATGGCAGACCTCACTTTAATAGCTATGAATGACTCTGTGACACAAAAGTTGTAGTTTTGGAGAGTTCCTGTGATGAACATAGAAAGAGTGTGTCACAGTATTTCCTTGACAACAGTTGATGGGGAAGTGTACACTACAGCTTGACAAAGGAGAAGTAATTATAGAACAACTGAAAACAGTACAGCATGTTGCTTTTCCAGCATTCCATAAGTGGGAGAACCAAAGCAGGTATACAGTGTATTAGGGTTATGATGTTGAGCAATTTATGAAACTTTCAGTCTTTGAAAAAGGCAGCCATATTGCTGTAACATCATAGTGGAATATAGTATTTAATTCATTACATTATAAATGGAAGGAAAGAAAACATTTATCTCTCCCTTTCTCTCTTTCTCAATCTCGGTGTGCCCGTGTGTATGTGTGTGATGTGTGTGTGTGTGTGTTTCCACTTCTGTCACAGGAAATCACACACAGCCTTTGTTCAAGATCACATTCACCCCCATACACCTAACCCACTTTGATATGGGTTTCATTGGACCCACATAAAGCTGGAATGGTCTCTGGGCTTATGGTGTATTTACAAAGGCTGTGGCTCAGTGGGACACCACTGTGTTGGTTGCCCTGAAAGAACCACACTGCAGACCCATGTCCTTTTCATAAGAATAGTAATGTCACGATAGGGGGCCAGTTGCTAAGGCTTTCTAAAGAACCATACAGTGCCGTATACTAAACTAAATAACAAAAAACTCCACATGGCAAGGGTAAGATTTAGAAATGACCTCATGGTTGTAACACTTTTCAGCTTTCCGTCAGTTTATCAGAGATCGTTTATGGTAGTGTATTCAAAACTTTATACAAACAACCTACAGCTGTCCTTTGCAAATTGGTGTAGTTATTATATATCTAAATCAAACTGCAAATGCATGGTGTTGTCTTAAATACAAGGAGTGAAGGGTTACATTTTACCCCAAGGCCTGGGTTAGTTGTAACAGTGCTTGGGGTGAATTGTAACAGAATGGAAAAAGTGCATAAATCATGACATGCAACTCATTATTTAATGCCTTTATTGAGACCATAAGAGCAACATTGCCATGTTTAACATTTTGTTTGGCAGAAATAATAATAAATATAAATAATAACGTGTTTATTATTTGACACTCCACTAAATGGTATTTCTCAACCTAACAACAACTCGGCTAAACTAAACACCTGAATGTTTGTGGTGTGTGTGTTTTTCTGTGTGTGTGTTTCTGTGTGAGTGTGTGTGTGTGCGTGCTTGTCTGTGTGTGTGTGACTGAATGTTGGACATGTTCACTTAATCAGAGTCACAGTTGTGACAGTGGTATGGCTGTCCTGGGGTACAGGCTTGGTGGGCCCATTATTTGCATTCCCAGCACCACCCAGACCTCCTTGGACTTGGAATTGTTAAAGTGCTCCGTGCACAATGCAGAAGTTTTCCTTGTTGGAGGAATCTGAATCTTCTGGTTCAATGTACTTTGTTTTGGCTTTCTTCTTAGGCAGGACAGTTTTTTGTCGTTGTTCAGTGTGGTTTGTCTTGGCTTGCTTCTTTCCAGCAGTTTTTTAATGAAGGGCAAAACATTTTTTGCCTTCTGAGTGCTTCACTTCTTATGCTCTTCTTCCAGTGCCTGCTTGATAGGTGTATCCACCATTTTTCTCGTCTTCCTACCCCTTGTTGTAATTTTCCAGGGCCCTGCTTTTGGGAAGAGGCGTACATCAACTGGGTTGAAATCAGAAGAGTCATCAGGTGTTTCAAAGCCAGAGCCTGATACATGTGGGGAGGTGCCCTGTGAAGTGGCTGGAGAGGTGGCCTGGAAGGCAGCTGGAGAGGTGGCCTTGGAGGTAGCTGGAGATGTGGCCTGGAAGGCAGTTGGAGAGGTGGCCTGGAAGGCAGCTGGAGAGGTGGCATGGGAGGTAGCTGGAGAGGTGGCCTGGGAGGCAGCTGGAGAGGTGGGCTGGATAGCAGTGGGCACAGTGGTCATAAATCAGCTGCCCTCAAGAGATACTCTGACAACTTCTGCTCCTGCTCATCCATGAAGACAATTTTTCCACAACGGTAGCCTACATGAGGAAGCTCTCTCGACCCCTTCTCCAGTAGCTTCTTTCTCTCTTTGCAGAATCTGTACAGCGTCACATAAAATATGCCATACAACTTTCCAACCGATCTGATTGACTTCCCCTGCTCTGCTACATCATTTGAAGCTTTGTTCAAAGTGTGGAGAGGTACTCCCCTGTCAGTCTTTCTTTTACATGATCTAGGCATGCTGAAAGTAAAAGAAAACATGTACCAAAAACATTCAGTTTTACCCGGGGTTAGATGTAACATTTTCTCACTAGTTGTTACAACTAACCCTGACCCTTGCAGCCATTAGCTAGCTTCCATTTTAGGTACTGTAAATGTTAAAACTTTAGCATTGCTAATTTGCATCAAATATCTCTACACAGACTGGTTATAAACCTGATATTAGTTTGGTGAATGGAACTACAAATCAGTTGGTGCCATCACAAAAACAAATGTGGTCAAAATAATTAGGGACTTGCTTTTTCACATGAGGGTTCAGGACTAAACTGCGCGTGTGCACAGTGAATCACATGATTCTACCTCACTCCTGATTGGAGTAATTGCAAGTGTTACAACTATCCCATGTTACAACCATCCCCGGTCTCCCCTACTTTTAAAGTGGCCACAATGTACAGTATAGAGAATTGATCATAATGGAATATCGGCTCTAATCTGAGGACAGACATTGTACGAATATGCAATAAATCTTAGAAAAAAGGGTCAATACGTACATGACAGTATGGTCCTATACCACATTTTCTTCTTTACCACTTATATTGTAAAGGTCTCTCATTTGAATATTAGTCAAAAAAACATTTTTGGGGAAAGGGCAGCCGTGTTTCTCTAACAACTTGTTTACCCGTGTGGTGCTTGGCTGACAGGAGCCTGCAATTCTTCCTTTTGTTGATGGCTTTTCCCTCGCCAGTTCCTTCTAACATTTGGCCACGATTTATGACTAACGTTGGGTCCGCAATTTCATCTTTCAGTGAGAACCTATCATTAAGTCGTAAAAAATATTTTCAAGAAATCTTATCTGTTGATTGATCACCGCATCCCCCATCAACAAAGTTAGATTTTCAATGCCAGACTGTTTGAGATTTAGGCACTTCATTGTTATGATCCCACACACTGTGTTCTGCATTGCAAACAATGATAATGGTTATCCTATAACAGTAGCATGGGAGTCACCTGCTTTGCATAAGTGTGTAAAGACAATGCATGGGTGAACAGCCTATCCCCCTAACCACTATTATGGTGGCCACTATAGTAAAATAGCTCAATTGGATCAGTTAATGGTTGACAGCCAATGTTTAATTAACTACTAGTCTAGAATCACAGGCTCCATAGCTTGCACGTCCTGCACCATGCAGCATCATGGAAAGGTCTGTTCAGTGACCTACAAAATAATCAAGGTTGCCATTTATAGAGACACAGCAAAGTAGTTGACAATTATCATGTTGATCTATCCATGAAGCATGCCTATAGTACTAAGTTGATGTCTAGCATAATACAGACATGGAACCACAGAGGAGGGTGAATTGAGGACACTACTTTGGCTGTTCACTCTGCATGTCAGATTGTGGACAGTGTGTGTGTGTGTGCGTGCGTGCGTGAGTGTGCATGTGCGCGTGAACGAGCCTGCATGCGTGCATGCTTGTGTGCCTGTATGTGGCAATTAGATAATTAAATTTTTTCATGACTTATATATTCTGATTTACGGAAATATGTTTGAAAGCGGGGTTGAAGTGTCACAATGAATGTTGATTAGACTCCTAACTGTAATGTCATCCTAATATACAAACAAAACCACTTTCATCTCATTCCAGTGTTTAGCTCGAAACTCAATGCCAACTAAATTAATGGATGTAGATGTGAAGTAATTTGAACAGATTATTGTACCTAGAATTATGCATCAGGTCCGCCAGTAATTCCGCTGCTCATTACAATGTGTTAAGGAGCTGATGGCATTTACAATTGTAATGTATGTTGATGATGAATATAGCAAGGCTCGGTGAAAGGAGAGGAGCTAAAATGAAAGATAATGATGTCATTCATCTAGCCCTGCCAATATAATACCTTTTCATATATTTTTGTCCACTTTAATAATGGGATTTCTGCTTGAATCGGCTTTGGAACATATTTCTAAATGGTTAATGTTACAATCAGTGTCACTTACCGGGCCTGCTCAACATATTGTATTGTATTGTATTGTATTGAGAGAGAGAGAGAGAGAGAGAGAGAGAGAGAGAGAGAGAGAGAGAGAGAGAGAGAGAGAGAGAGAGAGAGAGAGGGGAGAGATAGAGAGAGCACTCGAGGTAGAAGATCCATCGCTATCGCTCTCTATCTCGGAGCGCTCTCCCCTGTCCCTCGCACCGTCTCCTCTCTCTCCTCCCTGCTCTGCTCGCTCCTACTGCTCTTTGGCGGCTTCGAGGGGACTCCTATGGTAGGTACACCTATAGCTCATCTCTTGGCAGTGTTATTGTAGACTACTTTATCACTGACCTCAACCCAGAGTCTCTCAGAACGTTCACAGTCAGACCACATCAAAATCACAGTCTAGTTGAACAGAGCAATACTCAATCATGAGGCATCAAAGCCAAAGGAACTGAATAATATTAAGAAATGCTATAGATGGAAGGAAAGTAGTGTCGAAACCTACCAAAAAACTATTAGGCTACAACAAATTAAATCCCTTTTAGACAACTTCCTGGACTAAACGTTCCACTGTAATAGTGAAGGTGTAAACTTGGCAGTAGAAAACCAAAACAGTATATTTGACCTCTCAGCTTCCCTATCAAATCTAAAAATCTCTAACAGAAAACCAAAGAAAAGTAACAGCAGTGACAAATGGTTTGATGAAGAATGCAAAAATCTAAGAAAGAAGTTGAGAAACCTATCCAACCAAAAACATTGAGACCCAGAAAACCTGAGCCTATGCCTTCACTATGGTGAGTCACTAAAACAATACAGAAATACACTATGGAAAAAGATGGAACAGCATGTCAGAAATCAACTCAATGTAATTGAAGAATCCATAGACTCTAACCACTTCTGAGAAAATTGGAAAACACTAAACAAACAACAACACGAAGAGCTATCTATCCAAAACGGAGATGTATGGGTAAAACACTTCTCCTATCTTTTGGCCCTATATCAATGAACAAACAGCAAAAAAATATACATGATCAAATGCAAATCTTAGAATCAACTATTAAAGATTACCAGAACCCGCTGGATTCTCCAATTACATTGAATGAACTACAGGACAAAATACAAACCCTCCAACCCAAAAAGGCCTGTGGTGTTGATGGTATCCTCAATTAAATGATAAAATATACAGACCACAAATTCCAATTGGCTATACTTAAACTCTTTAACATCATTCTTAGCTCTGGCATCTTCCCCGATATTTGGAACCAAGGACTGATCACCCCAATCCACAAAAGTGGAGACAAATTTGACCCCAATAACTACCGTGGGATATGCGTCAACAGCAACCTTGGGAAAATCTTCTGCATTATCATTAACTGCAGACTAGTTCATTTCCTCAGTGAAAACAATGTACTGAGCAAATGTAAAATTGGCTTTTTACCAAATTACCGTACGACAGACCACTTATTCACCCTGCACACCCTAATTGACAAATAAACAAACCAAAACAAAGGCAAACTCTTCTCATGCTTTGTTGATTTCAAAAAGCTTTTGACCCAATTTGGCATGAGGGTCTGCTTTTACAAATTGATGGAAAGTGGGGGAAAAACATACAGCATTATAAAATCCATGTACACAAACAACAAGTGTGCGGTTAAAATTGCAATAAAAACACAAAATTATCTTGTCCTACAGGCAGTGGACTACCTACTAAATTGAAGTCAAATGTACATATGTGCTGATGATCTGAGTGTATCTTCATAGACCAAGGGGGCACACACCTAGACTCTGACATAATCTCAGTAAGAAAAAAAGAATGCTGTTCCAAAAAAGGTCCAGTTGCCAGGATCACAAATACAAATTGCCATAGACACCGTTGCCATAGAGCACACAAAAAACGATACAGACCTTGGCCTAAACATCAGCGCCACAGGTAACTTCCACAAAGCTGTGAATGATCTGAGAGACAAGGCAAGAAGGCCCTTCTATGCCATCAAAAGGAACATAAATTCGACATATCAATTAGGATCTGGCTAAAAATACTTGAATCAGTTACAGAACCCATTGCCCTTTATGGTTGTGAGGTCTTGGGGTCCACTCACCAACCAATCATTCACAAAATGGGACAAACAACTAATTGAGACTCTGCATGCAGAAATCTGCAAAAAGATCCTCTGTGTACAACGAAAAACACCAAATAATGCATGCAGAGCAGAATTAGGCCGATAACCGCTAATGATCAAAATCCAGAAAAGAGCCGTTAAATTCTATAACCACTTATAAGGTAGCGATTCCCAAACCTTCCATAACAAAGCCATCACCTACAGAGAGATTAACTTGGAGAAGAGTCCCCTAAGTAAACTGGTCCTGGGGCTCTGTTCACAAACACAAACAGACCCCACAGAGCCCCAGGACAACAACAACAACACAATTCGACCCTACCAAATCATAAGAAAACAAAAAGAGAATTACTTGACACATTCGTAAGAATTAACAAAAAAACAGATCAAACTAGAATGCTATTTGGCCCTAAACAGAGAGTACAAAGCGGCAGAATACCTGACCACTGTGACTGATCCAAACATAAGGAAAGCTTTGACTATGTACAGACTCAGTGTGCATAGCCTTTCTATTGAGAAAGGCCGCCGTAGGCAGACCTGGCTCTCAAGAGAAGACAGGCTATGTGCACACTGCCCACAAAATGAGGTGGAAACTGAGCTGCACTTCCTAACCTCCTGACAAATGTATGACCATATTATTAGAGACACATATTTCCCTCAGATTACATAGATCCACAAATAATTTGAAAACAAACCCAATTTTA